ACCGCTAAATTTTTTCCCCACCCAAACTCTACCTTTCCCAACATAATTGCACCAGCACCAAAGCCAAACAATATGCCCGCGCCGCATTCTACACCTAAAAAAACACGCGTTCAAGGAATTTGTAATTATCTTGATGCAAAAGGCACTACTTATAGCCACAATAACGTTTTTCGCTTTTTATAAATGCAAAGGGTAAAATGACTGCAGATTGAATGGGCTCTTTTTTTTGTGGTGGTGGGGAATAAATTGCGGTCCGGACTTTTTTTTGGGCAGGGTGCGTGTGTATGCGCGCCCAAGGAACCCCGACCCGAGTCAAGAAGGCCCAGAGCTCGGATCATCTTGCGACCAGGACGGGCGCTTGCCGCTTGCCGTGGGCCAGCCCCTCCAACCTCAGAGAGCACAAAGACGAACCGAAAAAAAAGCAAGCATGGCTTCATCACCGGCGCAAAATGCATTGTCCTTTGAGAAGCCGCAATCACAACGCCATCACACCAGCCCAATATACACCCCGGCATATCGGGCTTCTTCGGGGATACGACAGGTAATTTGACAATGAGGTCCCGGGACGAAGCAGCCATCTGCCTGCCTAGGTGTGCCTGCCATCTATTCCCTCGCCTTGACTCTCTGCTTGAGAAATGGCAAAAAACACAAGTCGGAACAGCCCCATGTCGTGACCCATGTCTGGCGCGGGAAGGATTGAGGAGTTCAATGCCAACAGCGTCGGCAACAAGGGCAGGGGAGCAAGGATGGACAGCTCCGTCCATAAGGAAGGGGGGGCCAACGCTGACATGACGGCAACCTCACCGGGTGAACCCCCTGTCCTTTTATCTGATCTTGCAAGATTTTCCCCTTCTCAAGAACAATCATCCCGGCCCCAAGCTGAAGAGACGACGGCGACTGCGGGGGGCGAGAGGCCGAAATGCCTATCGTGCTACCTAAGCTGGGTGTCATGCTACCCTGGCTCCCCTGGTCTGGGCCGGGTCCATCACGGCAAGCCACTGCGACAGCACAACCTCGTCTCTTTTTGGTCACATCACACCTTGGGGACGGGCAGATAGGCAGGCCGCTGACCAGGCTGGGCAATGTTTTCCGTCGTTGTCTCTGGGGCCTCGTCGCGAGTTCATGCACCAACTTTCATGCCAAGCATCAGCCCGACGCTTGGACCTCGGCCTGTCAAACGAGATTTGACGTTCCCGCCGTCTTCGAGTTGGGCTCGAGGACAGCGGCATATTGTCCCGGGCGGAGAGAGGCTCGAGAGGCTCGGGAGGCTTGTCGATGCGGCGTTGCTCCCGTGACGCCGGCCGCAGTTAGTCCAATCAGCCCCAGGCCTAGTCTGACGTCTATCGCATCGCAACCCGCGCGGGAAACCGTTGATCCGTCGCATCGAATCTACCACTGGCTACACCACTTGCAGCTGCGTTGCGCCCCTTCTCCTCTTTGTGGTCTTTCCTCTTCCGTCCGTTTCTCTTCCCGAGCGTGGTGCTCGTTTGTCCTTTTTCGCGGGCGCCAGCGAGGGCAAGACCCAATCCCGCAGCAGAGCACAACTCAAGGTCCCCGGCATCGCATAATCCAGGCCATCCCAAAAAGGGAAACCCGCACCATATCCATAATCATCACATTGCATTATGGGTTTCTTTTCTTCCCCCACCGTCTTCATCACACTATCACGGCGCCCTGCAGATGTTAGCTCGGACGCTTTCCCCACGCTCCCCGAGCGAATCAACACACCTTCCGAGCCTGTCGTTCAGCTCCCCGGCGGTGCTTGGGCGAGGAAGGATGGGAAACAGCCAAGCCGTCGCTACGAAATTCTGGTCGAGGCTGATGTGACGACCGGGAAATCCATTGGCGAAAGCGCGTCCATGGTGGGTGCGCCACAGCAACCCCATCGAGGTATCTATACTTATCCACCAACCATTACGCTCTCGCACGTATCAACACACGGCACACGATGCTCATATTTCACATGGCCTATTGCCGTACCTGACCTACATCGCGCGTGCCTACAAGTCCATCAAGCCATACAGGTCGCTCCGCGCAGGCCTGCCAGACGGTCTGGGGGGGTTGTAACATGGGCCCTATCACCTCATGTGTTCCACATGTCGCGGCTTGGGGTCATGCATCCATGTGCCACTGTGTATCCCACAAACGGGCCCACGCTCTCGTGACGGTCACGGGATGAGCACACATGGCACACATGGCACATGAGGAACAATGGAGAATGGCATTTTGCACCAACCAACAAAGCCACCAACGCACAGGGGACCAGCACGCAGCCACAAATCAAGCCGCTAATGGCTCGCTCCCCGCCGCCATGCCGGCGCCTCCGTTGCGGGACCGACGCGCCCCCGAAAGGTTGCCCGGCTCGGTGTGCCCAGGCTAGCTAGCCTAGTGGCGGCTTCGAGACCATGCGCGGATCTATTTTCGGCCGGACTGTTTCCACCGGCGAATGAGAAGTCACTGGCAGTCACTGGCAGTCACATCTTGTGGGGACGGTCGAGTAGATAGACCAACGTTCCATTCTGGAAGAATGACAGATGTGCGCGTGTGTGTATGCGCGTGTGTGTATGCTCGTTTGTGGGACTGCGACTGCGATTGCGACTGCGACTGCGACTGCTCCCACGGCCAGCCCGCCATTCGGAAGACAGAAGCGAGCTGTAACTAGTCGTTTCCGGCCGAGGCCAGACGGACTGTAGCATCATTCCCGGCTAGGTCGCATGCGAACATCGGCCACTGTCATATCTTGGCCAAGAGAATGGAACCCCCGCGGCCACACAAGGGTCCGTATCCGGTGCCTCGCGGCTCGTAATCGGGTGCATTAGCCAAAGCATATATGTACGAGATTGATGTCTTGCACCACCCGGGGACCCAATAGAGCGCCCTCCTGCGCTGCTGCCCTTCAAGTTTGGGTGGTTTGAGGGGGGGTTGCAGTGCACGGGTTCGCTTCACAGGCGAGGACAAATCATGGGCTGCAGGCGGCCGGTACCCGCGTCGATTGGCTCGCCCAGATAGGGGCCAAGCCACAGCAGCTGCCATCCAACCCATCCGAGCAGTATAGGCCGGTGGACGAATGGGCGGCGCAGAAGCCTGCAAGCCCAGCACACCGAGTTGAGTGGCCCGTCGTCCCGACTGGCTCGATGAGCGGGGGGGGAGGGAGCATTGTCGGAGCGTGTGGCCAGAGTATAGCACGGCCGGCATTGATGCGCGCAACACAAAGGAAAGCGGGGAGAAGAGGGAAGAAAAAAAAAGGCGCGTTCTAAGTGAAACGACGTCAAAACCGGCGATGCGCGGGATGGATAGGAAGAAAAAGAACAAAAAAGGCAGACGAGGCGAAAAAAAAAAAGGCATCAACCCATCGCCAGGCACAAAAAGGTCCAAGGCTACCCTGAATACATTACCACACCCACCTGTGCCCGCGCCCCAAGATAGGCACATGCTGGTTGTGAAGCCGTGCCTTTTTTGCGAGAGGGGTGCGCGAGCCTGGACCTGGGCTGTCTGGTTGATGGAAAGGCACGCGCAATGTTTCCCAAATGCAAAGGATGCAGTCCCCAAACCTGCGCATAATGGACGTGTTGACATTTTGGAGGAACCCTTTTGGGCATATCTTTTTTTTTTTTTTTTTGGTTGTGCCAGGCCCCCTCCTCCTCCTCCTCCTCCTCTGATCTGGGTTCCCTCATCAGATAAATGATATCTGGTTGGAACGGCGACGAGCGGCGAATAGATGCTAGGCATCACGACGCGGTTGCCTCTTTGGGCGGCGGCGCGCGGGCTGGGTGTGTGTGTGTGTGTGTGTGTTTGTGTGTGTGTGCACCAGGTATGTGCCGCAGTGCCGATGGCGGACGTCCAGAGGCGTGATAGAGAGATGAAAGCAAAAGACACAGGAGCGGCTTGTGGCTTTCTCTCGGCGATTGATCTGCCAGTAGCAAGGGGGCAAAACTGTCGAGGCCGCGTGCTTACTGTCTTCTTTCCACCGCCCTTCTCGTGCTATCATCATCCCTTGCATCTCGCCATATGCGCCCTCCCGGGTTGGCAAGCAGCCACCCAACCACAACGCCCACTGGCCATCATCCTCCTCCTCCCCCGTCCCTTGTCGTGCCCAATCCTTTCCCAACCACCCCCACCCCGGGAGTCCGGACTCCTCGCCCCGGTGATCTTTGATCGCGCAAGGTGAGAGGGGCTTTGTGGGAACGGAAAGGACGTCGAGATGCCCCACGGTGTGTGGCCTGGCGAGCTAGGCATTGGCCCGGGCCCAGCGGTGTGATATCGTATCCCTCACCCTCCCCGGAAGATGGTGCTGGCGGATGTGCCATGCGAGATTGAAAGTGTGTGACGGCAGTGATAAGGGGTAGGTAGTGGTGATGGCCGTGCCGTGGCTGCTGCTGCCCTGGCAACGCAACGCACACGATCCTATCAGGCCGCGAGCTTGCGGTCTGGAATACGTCTCTTGTCGCGGGACCAAAATGTGATTTGGGAAACCCCCCTCCATTCATGCATGGTCCCCCCCGTGCGAAAGCTGCGATGGCCTCCTCCTGTCGTGAGCATAGCAAGGAGGACTTGTCGGATGCCAAAGTGGAGATGGCAATGTGACTGATGGGGGGGACGGTGCCAGCGGCGGATGGCTGGCTGGATGAGCGGGTGCTCTATCGACGGTCGAAGAGGCCCCTTCTGCTGGGACTGTAGGCAAAGCGCCCGCGCTATCCACTACCGAAGAGGCCCTTCTTCTGCTTGGGGCCGTAGGCAGAGAGAGTGCTACTCTGTCGACGGTTGGTTGGAGAGGCCCTTCTGCCGCGGCCGCGGGTAGAGCGATGCGCTATCCGCGATCCCAAGAGGTCCATCTGTTTTGGGGCCGCAGACAGAGTGTTACTCTACACAACGTCTGGGGAGAGACACTTCTGCCGCGGTCGCAGGTAGAGCGCTGCTCTAACACACGGTCGGGATGGGGTCCTTCCTGCTTGGACCGTAGGCAGAGCGCTGTGACAGCCCTATCCACGCCCGAAGAGAGAGGCCTTTTGGCGGGGCAACAGGCAGAGAGAGTGTCGCTCTATCCACGGTCGAAGAGACCCCTCTGCTTAGACCGCAGGCAGAGCGCCGGCCTACCCACGTCCGAAAAGGCACTTTTTGCCGCGGCCACAGGTAGAGGGCGCTGTTCCACCCACGCCCGAAGCCGTCTTTCTACATGGATAACAGGCAGAGCGTTGCCCTATCCACACCAGAAGAGTCCTCTTATCCGAAGTCCTGCGGGCAGCCTACCAACAAGCCCGTATGGGAGAAGATGGGGAGAAGATGGGGAGAAGATGGGGAGAAGATGGGGAGATGGAGGGGAAGGGTCGCGAGGGTACACGGGCAGCCTGGTATGGGAGATCTGCTTCCTTTGCGTCTGGGCTGGTGACCCCCATCTCAGGCACTGCATTTCCGGATCGTCTTGGTTCACACCCCCTGTGGCGAGGACAAGACGAGCCCCAAGCCCCCCCGAGATGCGCAAGGCATGTCTGGAGGGAGACACAGTTTAGGAGAGAAAACGGACATGGGTGAGTTGGTGGCACTCTGAGCTCGGCTCTCTGCCCGACATGGCAGATGCTCCTCCCGAGACACTCCTCCCGAGCAAGACCGGCATCCCTTAAAGTAGACTTGGGGGTCATTAGTAAGAAGGCGGTCTAGAGACGGAGAAGCAGAGCAGAGCAGAGCAGAGCAGAGTGGATGGCATGTGTGCGAGAACGCAACCCGTGCCCCCTCCCCAGCTCCGGCTTCCCGGCGAGGGCTGGAAAGAAGACCGATCCTCCCTCCGGAACCGCTACGGCCGCCGCCCCGCCCCGATCCCCCCCACTCGGGTGGAATCGGACAACAAAGAGGGAGGGGCGGGTTGGTGCCCCCGTCAGAATGGTCCCGGTAACGGCCAAAAGGGGGCGCTGGCCCCCGCGATGGTCCGGAGGGACGAAGTGAGGCGGGGTGGAGGGGGCGAAGAGGTGGGGAGGGAAGGGCGAGGGAAAAAAAAGCAAAGCAAAGCCCGCTTGAAGACCCGGAAGCCTGTAAACGTCGTGCTGGGGGGCGCTGGCAAGGCTTGGCTCTGGGAGTGACTCCCTTCGCTCGCCCCCAGCATCACCCGTGGCGTGTGGTCTCGTCGCCCCAGTATCGTCCGTGGCGTGCGGTTCCTGGTGTGTGGTTCCTGGCAAGCCCTGCCCCGAGGTATCTGCCTGTCTGCCTGCCTGCCTAGCTGCAGTCATAATCGTTGGGCGTGGATGCGCCTTCGGTGGGAAGCGTCCACGTCGTGTTCGCATAGGCGGTGTGCAGCTGGGGCAAGTGCGTGGACGGGGGGTGAAAAAGAAAGGTAAAGGCATCCCAGTATGTAAAGCCAGCAGGCAAGACATGTCGTGTCACAGGGGGTTGTCACGTTTGATCGTAGGGCCAAGATATGGGTTTTGGTTTGTGTGCGTGTGGAATAATATTGATGGTAATAATGTCAGGCTTGTGTGAAAAGAAAACGCTGCTATGCTAAAATAAAACTACTTAAAGATTTTGGGGTATCATGCGCTTGCCAATGATGTTGCTAAAATGATTCCAGGCTCTGAGGGCGTTTCGCCTTTGCCAAAAGGAGAGAAAAAAACAATGCTGATGGGACGATACCGTCCATGGTGAAGATCCCTGTCCCAAAAATAAAACATGTCCAGAATGTGTTCCCGCGGATTCCACGGCGCCAAAAAAAAAAGCCCTGAAACGGGGTTTTTAAATGGCGGGGCGGCCGTCCGATGCCAAAACAAAGCTGCAGATACTGGTATAGTAGAACAGAATAAGGAAAGGAAGCCAAGAAGATGCTTTTGTATGTCCGTTCCAGAACCCCATAACCGAAAAGATGCCCAGTAACCATTCCCGCATAAGGGTGTGGTGATGATATGTAATAGTAACAGTGAAAGGAAAAGATTGTTTGGATGATAGCGATGACTCTTTCGTTGAAAGGAAAGTGCACACCTGGGGTATGAGGGGTGTGCACGTGTTGTGACGTGGCGGCGGGGATGGGGTGAGTAAAATAAAAAATAAAAAAGTCACCGCCAAAAACCCTGCCCCTCAAAGTGTGAGGAGGTGAAAGCCCGACCAGGCTGGCCCACAGCGCGATTTATGCTGTGGTTGGGTTTCTGCGGCCCGATGTGGTTGTTGTAGTGTTTTGCCCGACACCGCGCATGTGTAGGATAGAATCTCATGACCCCACCCCGTGGTAGGCCGAGAGGTGTCAAGAGGGACTCGGCATGGGGAGAATTGCCGAGGAGGGCGATTAGATTGGAAGGAGATGGTAGAATGGCCGAGTTGGTTGGAACTTGTTGAGTGCTTGCATGCGCTCACGTGTGTCCGAGGTGGATGCGATAAGGTGTGTGTGGGGGGTCGCGGAATGTCTCGGGCGCCAAGGATGGAGGGTCAAACCCGAGGGCGGCCGATGCACAAGCATGTGTGCGGCAGCGGGTGGTGGGTTGAAAAAGAAATGACCGGAGAACCGGGATGGAATGGATTGAAAATAAAGAACAGGTAAAAAAAAAAAAAAGCAAAATGCGCCCATCGGGGTGTCATCGCCGGATGACAGGACGGTGTCGTAAAAAAGGGGTATCATAGAAGAGGATGGTTGGATTATTAAGACTGGATTGGAGGAAACACGAGTTAGCAAATGTCCGCGACAGGAATGCAGCCCAGTGAGGGCGCACAATGCGACGGTGGGGTTTAGTCAGCTTACATTGAATGGGTGGTTGTGGTAGAGCTCCACCGCGCGCGGCGCAAAAGGATGCGACAAAGGTGAGAGGAGGAGCGCAGGCGGCAGCGGGCCGAGGTGCACTTGGTTGATAGCCTCTGCAACGTTGCCGTCGCTTCCTTCACTCGGCGATGGGGGCCATCATGGCGGCTGTGCCCTTGGCCTTGGGGCTGCTCTTCTTGGAGCCCGCGGAGGGGCGGCGCTGGCGCTGCTTCATGGCGGCGCGGCGCCTGTCCCTCTCCTCGACGGCCTGGCGCATGGCCTCGAGCTGGTAGGCGCGCATCTGCTGCCTACGGGCCTCGAGGCGAGCCTCGTCGGCCTCGGCGGCGGCGGGCGCGTCAAAGTAGTCGTAGCGGTCGCTGCTAGTGTTGTTGTTGCTGGGCAGGCGGCCGGGGATGGGAGAGCCGGCCGAGGACGAGCCGCTGCTGGAGACGCTGCGGGCATCGTCGTCAAAGACATCGGGCGAGGACGGGAAGAGATCCTCGTCGGACAGGAACGAGGTCGCGCGCTCCTCGCCACGCTCAGACTCGGAGAGCGAGGACCGGCGCGGCCAAGAGGGGAAGGCGCAGCTGGTGTCGGAGAAGTGGTGCTGCGGCCTCGACAGATAGCTGCCGGCGCCAATCTCCATGGGCGCCGACGTGGAGGAGTAAGAGCCGTATGGGGAGTACATGGCTGCTGATGTGTGTGTATGTGTGAGGAGGATGTGTGAGAGTATGAGTGATGCGATGTGCTGCAGTGAGCAACAGGCTTTGTTGTTGTGAAACCTCTTTGATGGACTTGGACACTATCGTCAAGTCGGAGTAGTGTGCAAGGGGGACCGGTTCCCTTTTATTCAGTTTGCTTGGTATTCGGGCTGAGCCTCGTTGTGTGGGCTTCAGGGCTGCACCTTAATGACGTGGCGAGGCCTGTCCGTGTTGGCGACAATTAGGTGTGTGCAGGTCGGGCCCGTATGCAAGTGCGAGTACGGGGTATTCTGTGTGCTTTTTTTTATGGAGCCTCGATGAGCAAAAAGTCGAGGCGGTCTGGAAGACAACACAGGGAAAGCCAGGCGGTCTCGGCTCGGCTGCGCGCTGCTTGGTGTGGGTGGGGAGGCTCCTCGCTGGTTGCGGCTACGGGATAGGCAACGCCTTGTGATGCGAGATAGGATGCGTCACCGGGGTACAGAGGTGCGCAAAGCAGGATTCCTATGGCTCTTGTCGATGGAAGAGCTCGTGGCGGTGATGTGTCTGGCTGGGCAGTAATAATGTCGGGCGCGATGTTGGCATGATGTAAAGGAAGGGGAAGGGAAGGGGGAAAGCCCCAGATGGAGAACGAGGGCGAGAGGCACGGGCAGTGTTATAATCGTGAGTCAACCCCATCGCCAACGAGGGCGTGGACGAGGGCGTGGGTGGTGCACGGAGGCACCAGGCAAGCGAAGGAGAAGGGCCCAGGGCGGAACAGAAGGGAAATCAGCATCCCTGCCTTGCCCATCCCTTGTATCCCTTGTACTCGGTCAGGACGGAGTACACAGGTCGCCGGGCCCCCACGCCCCTCTGCCCCGGCCCAAGGGCATGTTGCAAGGGCCGAAAAGTGACAAAGTGTAATCCACCGCTACTTTTTCCGTCCTTTGATTTCTCACCCACGTTTCTTTTGTTGGAAGCCTGGGCCCTTGTCGGTCTGTTGCTCTGTGCTGACCGCCTCTCCCTGTCCGCCCTTTTTGGTTGGCTGGTGCGGCACACCCGCTCGCCAATACCTACACGCCCCCTCCCCCCCCTGCTCTGCCGCCCACTGGGCACACACGCACCCCCTCCCCCCTGGCGCCTACACCCGTTGGTCCATTTTCGCTCAATCTGTCGTGGGGAAAAGGAAGCCCAGCCAGTGGCTGCCCTAGCCGGGGTTGGGGAAGCAAGCAGCCCTCTCCCGGACTTCCTCGCTCAGACCTCTGGAATCCACCAGCAAGGAGGCGAGCCCCCGAGCCCAGCGCCGGCGCACCGCCTGTTCGTTACCTGGTAGACAGGCAGCCCCAGCGGCCACGGTCGCTGAAAACGCCCCCCCCCCCCCCAACGCCTCACTCTTCACTCCCCGCAAACGAAGCGCCAGGCACGCGCGCACAGCACAGCACACACCGCACCAGCCAGCAAAGCCGTCCAAATCACCAACCTGCAGGCAGGGAGGGGAGGGATGGAGGGAGCGAGGCGTTGCGCCGCTTTCACCGCCGGCGGGAAATGGCTCGTCTCAACTTGTTCATCCCCCGCAGCACCCAACCGGAGGCGCGGGAGCGGGCATAAAGGTGTGATGGGATCAATAAAAGGAGGGAAACCCACACACGGGCGGCGCACACACACACACGCTACGCGCAAACCCGCGCCGTGACAAAGCCTACGGGCTGCGGCGTACGGTTTTGCAGTGGGTGGATGGCCCCCCCCCTACCCTTTCTCCTGGTGTGTTTCTTTTTTGTGACCGTCTGCGAGCTACCATCCAGGCTACTTGCTAGACCAACGACGCCGCCCCGCCCGTTTGCTCGGACGGGATAGGCCCGGGCAGTATGTGATATCAGCGTTCCGTGGTGCGACAGCGCGCGCCCAACGGAAATGAGGCCGGAGAGGTGGTGGCAAGCGAGAGAGACAATCAGAGTCGTGAGCAGCAATAGTTGGTCGTGGTTGGAAGCCGAGCCGGTCGCGGGACTGGACTGAATAATGCACGCGGCCAGCCAACCAACGACCGCTATCCGGTGCGAAGCCCGAGAAGGATGCAATCAAAATGGCTGATTCATGATTCATAGCGGTGCGGTGCTGCGTGCGTACACCGACAAGAAAAAACAAGAGGCTGCAGCCAGGCAGAGGATTTTTCCCCCCCGCTTGCGACGCGACTCGCAAGATTTGTCCGAGGTCAAAGGCTACCACCTCATAATGTGCGACCGACATTTGCAAGTCACAATCTTGGCCAGCGAATATCGCCGCTGAACAACACACCTCACCGGGCCACCACACCAGAATATTGACCGACCCGCATGAAAATAAGAAAATAAACCCCCAAAAAAAGGAAAACCCAAAAAAAAAAAAGACAACGGCAAAAAAAAAAGCAAGGCGTCATCGCCGAAACGCCGGCGTCCCCCCTCGCCCCCCCTGAGTAACCGCCTTGACTGCCCGCCCCCATCCCCGCCTGCCGAGCACAGAGCGTAACTAGAAACGGGCAAAATGTCGAGGGGGAGGCGTCGCGGGGCGCGTTTCCATCCCACTGGCACTTCCCGGGGGCTCCGCACAATCTGATGGAGAAAAGGCGGCGGGCGATAGGAGCGCAAACCAAACACCACAACTTGGATCGTAGATGGATGAGTCAGACTGGGGGAGCACAGGTGTGAGGGCGTGTCCGCCATATTCCATCGTTGTCAAGTCTGTCCCATCCATCCCCGCCCTCCATTTCTCCGTGCCGCCACCATCTGGGGTCAATAAACGGGGAAGACCCCTATGACAAAAAGACGGAGGAGAATGAGCGAGAGCGACGCTGCTATTACAAAGGAAAGCGCATGGGCTCGCTCGCGTAAGCTGATGGCTGCGGAAACACACGAATAGCACTCGGCACCGAAGCGATCGACACCTGGAGCCGGCCGACGGCGCAGCCCAACAGGCGGGCGGGTAAACAACACAATGCTAGGTGGCCCAGGCAACTCGGCTGCCTGCGCCGCCCGGTGCGAGGGAACGGCGCTGCACTGTCCGCGCTGCGAGGGCAATTGGCGGGAGGGCTTACATACCCATCTTGCATACCCTACCTACCTACGCCTGTAGGCCGTAGGTACGGCTGTAGGTACCACCCGTAGCGTAGGTACCAGCTGCTGCCTCCTGCGATGTGCGTATGCCGGCATCTTTTTTCGTATCCCACCCCGCGCACAACGTAAGCTGCTACCCGTCCGTTTGCGTCTGTCCGCTCAAACCTTCCAGAAAGGGAAGGAATGTCGGGTTGTCTTTTTTTTTCTTTTCTTTTTTTTTCTGGGCGCACACAGACCACCACTCTGCTTCCCAGGACACAGACACGCACAAACAACAAACACAACCCCAAAGACGGGAACCCCATAGCGATGATATCAGTGCGTCACCCAAGGGGAGGTCGAACCGGCACCAGCACAAGCTGCATCAGACGGCCACGCGGAGGACCTGGGTCGGGCGCCGAAAATACTCCAAACGCCACGGGGCGGTCGGTGCGCCTCTGCCACTCGTCGCAAGAGTCATTGACGTCGTCGCGACCTTGTACATACATGGGACGGGGGTGCCGCCAAAAAACATGGATTGCTTGGATGCCGGCCGATAAACAAGAAAAAACGCGACAGCAACAACGACAGCTCACCCACCACGCGGCGGTCACCTATCTCCGACTACGGCGCTGTCTCGGGACCTCATTTTCCTTTCCCCCCCCCCCCTCTCCCTTACTTTTCTTGCTTCTCATGTTGATGCGTGAATGGCCAGCCGCATCGTGTTTCCGTCCCGAAACCTGTTTGCCTCGCCAAACACACGCCAATAGGCTTGCTGCAGCAGCACACCGCACGCAGCAATAAGGACGAAGAGAAGGAGAAAAGAAAAGGCGGTCGGGTATCGCAGACCACCCCCTCCCATCCCCTGTCGGGCTGTCGCTTGTGCTTTGGTGCGCTGCCGGCAGCCATTCCGGCGGCAGGGCGGAGGGAGATCGTAATGGATACGATTGTTGTGCATGCCCAAGGTACAGTACATACATACAAACAGCTGCGGGCAGGCATAATTCGCGACCGCTGCTGCAGCCTTGACCGCTCCCTCTCGCATTTTAGAGTTTGCCAGCACCATCCACCTCCTGCCCTTATTGGCCGTTCCGTGAGGGGGATGCCGCATGCGGGCCCTGCGATAAGCTGGAGAGATGCCGCCTACTAAGGTGCCTGCCGCCTTGGGCTGCACCCACCACCCACCATGCCAGGGGGCCGCACCGATAATGGGCTTCTGGAAGATTGTGCTTGTGCTGCAAACGAGCCGTGCACGCTCCCTGCCGTGCACGCTCCCTCAGGCCGGCCAGAGGGGTAGGGAGTGGGTTTTGGCCCATGGCGGATGTTTCGTCTCCACGCGGACCAGCCCACCGGCTGTTTTGCACGGCGCACACACCACAATGCGCGAAAACGGCCACTGCCAAACCAAACGAACATGTGTCGTGTCTTTTTGGGTCCTGCCCCGCACCCACAAAAGCCCAGCACGCCAGCAACGGTCGCAGTTTGCTGTTGCCGTTGCAGTGGCAACCGAACCGGCAGGCAAACATGAATGCGCGGTCTGTCTTGTCTCGGCGAAATAAGGGTTGAAACGGTTTGGGCCGCCCTGACAAAGCGATTGCCTGGATGCCAACGACACGCCGAGGAATTCCCCTTTCCGTTTCCCCGCAGGTCCAGACGGACGTCGGTCCAGCACCAGAACCCCGTTAGGCCACCGCTACCGTCCACCACCACTGAGCCTAGAACGTGTTGCATGTCAGTGGGTGTGAGGGCGGACCTTGCAAGGCTCGTTTTTGCTTCCCTCCTCTCACGACCAGGTCCCCCGACTAGCACTCGCGCGACGGTAGCCGGCCTTCAGCCCGCGGCGCGCAGGGGGGGAAGAAGGGAAGAAGAAGGGAATAATCGAGGGAGAGAGGCACACGGTCCCTTCTCCGGGCGCCCGGTCCTTCGGCTATTTCCCATGTCTCTGGCTTTTTTGTCGTTGCCGGGGTGGTGTGTCGGTGGGTGGGGTGCGGGCAGCGACCTTGGAGACGACGAGATTAGGCCGGATCCTCCCTCTCTCTTTGCTAGGAAGAAGAGCCATCCAGCCTATCGGGGAGCGTTTCTCCATCTCCACGGACCACCGCCGCGCCCCACTGATAGTCGGTCTACCCAAACGCTTGGGTTTTTGGGTGTTTTTTTTTTTTATTTCTTTCCTTTTTCTCTCAGCTCAACCACCCCCTCCCCGGCCGATCTCCACCCTCGTCGTATTTGGTCTGGGCTCTAGCGGTCCGGGGCAGCATGGGTTTGTCTTCCGTCCAAGCTCGCTATCTCTGTTGGGATCTGGCGGCCGGCCGCGGGTTCGGTCGTTACGTTTCCTGTCACAACCCTCCTTTTCTTCGCAATGTGTCGGCGACGAGGGTTTGTGCGAGATAAGCAAAAAAAAAGCAAACTTGCCTGACGCGGGTTTCGCTGGCATCGTCATTCCTCACTTTGTGATCAATCTCAATATGTGGCTGTCAAGCCCTTCCCCCTCCCTCTCGAATCGCGGGCGCAAGCATTACTCGATTCAAGGTGCAACTTCACCCTCCCAGCCCAGACGTGTCTGGCCCCCCTTCAGGTTGAGGCCATCGCCCTCGCGGTTCAACCAAAAGCAAGCAGCGACACATCGCGCCCTCCTTGACATATGCTTGCACCTTACACCCCCTCGTAACACCCGAGTAATTTGCATCCCTGCACTCGAGAGTGCTCTGATTTCCACGTGCCTGCTACCGTCAGGGAACGGCAAAGGAGGCGGGAGCTCTCAAATGTCGGGGAGACTGTCCCGGTTCCCTGTGAATGTGCTGTGTACCTAGTAGCAACGCCCCTCTTTCTCTTATTTTGCGCTAGGATTTTTGTTCGAGAAGGTCACCCAAGTTCTTTCCTCGACAAGGGGGTCGAGTCAGGGCCACTGCCCCGGCGGCACCCATGAAGGGTCTCCACGACCTCCCCACCCGCCTCGGTCGCCGTTTTCGGTGAGAAGGTGGGCAAGCTGTCAAATCAGCGACGCCTGCCGGAACTCCCTCCGCGCTGCCTCCCACTGGTCGACAGCCCCTGTCCATCCCCAGTTTTCCTCATTAGGAACAAGACACACACACCCCTCCCCTCCCCTGCTTAATCCTTCTTCCGGGCCTGGCCTCTCCCGTGTCTCTTCCGTGGCTTCTGCCCTCGCCCTTCGAGTCCTGTGAAAGCCCTTGTCTTGGGATCGCCGCCGTGCCCCCTGGCCTTTCTCTCGTATGCACTCCACACGGAAATGTGGCCGTTCATTTCTTTGCTCAGTATTACCCTCAGCAACCCGTCAGGTCGGGTCGGCCCAAAGGCGCAGCCAGCACCGACAGAGCATGAAATATGTGTTGCAAAAAAGTTGACAAATTGACAGGTTGACGAATTGGTTTGGAATGAGATTCGAGGCAGGTGAGTATTCAAACGTGACAATTACCAAAAAAGTCGAGTCAGTCGTGGCAAACACGCGGCGTCGACGACGGTAGCCCTTGGCTCAAACATGTCGCAAAAATGCACTGAGCAGTTGTTTGCTTTTGTCTTGATATGTGACCCCGTCTTCCTGCCTCTATCTTTTATTTTTGGCACCTTGGCTTTTTTTTTTTTCATCTCATAGACGCCTGTCGTCCAATGCAACCCGCATTATGTCCATCCGCATCTGACAAGAAGCAAATCCCAGCTCCCTCGCTCCCCAAACCGATCAACGGAAAAAGTCGCACCATCCTTTGACAAACCACCTCGAGCAGGCGCGGCCCTCCCTGACAATCAACCATGGGCCCCGCCAGTGGGCCAGGCCCCTGGTGTGCGGCTTGGGCGGCTGTGAAATCCGGACGACCGCATCCGCCCTCCCGGCCCCTGCCAGCTCCTCTCTCCCCACCCCTGGCAAACCAACACGGCGGGAAACCAAGGCCTGTTTGGGGAAAGGGCTGGGCTGCCCCCTTGGGAACCAGCGCTCCTTCTGCCTGCTCGCTTGCTCCCACCCCTTGTACGGCTTGCCAAATAAGATTACCTATCCCCCTCCCCTTAGCGTTACCCGGAAACCTGGAAGGGAGCTCCTTGCGGCCACAACTGCCAGTCCCAGGGCAGGCTTCGCGGGACGGACTGCGCTTTCCGGGGGCGGGCTTCCCACCGTCTCCTGCCGGGGTGAGGGAGGCTAGGGCAGGCCTTTTTTCTTTTCTTTTCTTTTTCTCTCTCTCCAACACGGACGCGGTTAGCACGCTTATCTCGCCTGGCCCTGTGAAAAAAAAAACCAAAAAAAAACAAGGAAGACGATCCGTACCCAAGCGGCTGGGAAATGGCGACGCCGGCGTGCCGGAAAATCCAAGCCACAGAAGTCTAATCTCTTTCATCTCCCTTCCCCTGCTTGAAGGGAGGAGGGAAAATGACCGCCACAAGACGGAGGAGACAAAAAAAAAAGTGAGGCGAGCCTGCAGACTTTCCGAGGCAGCCACGCGGCCACAGGAGCGGTGGCCTGTGTGCCTTGTCCTGTCACCTGTCAGCCCTTCGTTGGCTTCTTCTTTGCTGGTGCCCGATTCCCGGTGTGATATTGGATGCAAGTTCTCTTTTCTTCCATCTCAGCTGGCCGTTTGTTCCCGTCTCCGCGGGCGCGTGCATACCGCCTAGCCCATCGATTCTGTTTGCTGTTGCTCACTCGCACATCATCGGCATCATCGGGGGCATGTTCCCGTCACCGATGGCCGACGTCGGGCCTCCTTCGTAACACTGTCCGTTCCGCCCTGCAAATACGCCAGCCATGCCAAGGGAGCCCATGAAAAGAACAAACATGTCCCGTCCCGCTGGTAACCCGTCCCCGTGCGGCCCCTGCCGTTGCCCAAGGAGAAGAAGAAAAAAAAATATTTCCTCCCGGGCCGCGGTCATCGCCGAGTCCCTGAAACCCCTTCACTTTCGCGTCGGTGGGTCGCGACCCTCCCACACAAACACCCCCCCGTCCGTCAATCCTCTCTCCAGCGAGTCCCACCCGCGCTGTCGATGATCGCCCAAGCCGCTGTGGCACACACCACCCTCATTACCCAGCCACTGGGGCACCGGGAGAGGGGGGGGGCCGGTCCCAAAGGGCAAATTAGCATCAAAACACAGGGCGCTGGTGATGCCCGACCAATCTTCTGGGCTCCTCTTTTTTCCCTGTCGCGCAACGCCCCGGCCCCACGTCCAGGCGATTCCACAGCTCGACGACGATCATCCCCTCGGTGACTCGCAGCGGGCGAGCAGTGCTGGCTAGGGTGGACCATCTGCTGGCTAGAGCGGGCGGGCGGGAATCACCGTCCTTCTGCTCAGGGATTCCCATCACTGACCACCCACCACTCCCCCACTAAGGCGATGGAGATCCGATTATTACGTTTTTTGCGCCGGCGAGGGGGGCGTGTGTGCTCGGGGGGCAGGCCAGCCACCTGTCAGGTGCCTTGACATTTCGTTTCGCTCCGCTGATAATGTGATGTTTGATATTGCATGTCGGGAGTTTGGCCGCTCTGAGCTCTGAAATGCCGTGCCCAGCTCCTTCTCGTCGTGTTCTGCCGTCTCGTCACGTGCATCTGACTGACTGCCCCCGTCGGCGTCCCTCCGAGTCTCGTCCGATACCGACGACCAGCCATTCAGATGCCGTGTTTGTAGCAATCCGCCCGTGTGTCGTGATGTGGGGGACCCCGTGCTTGTGAGCTTGGACTTGGACCTCCCGATGGGGCAGCCCATGAACGCGTCCGAACCTACCATGTCGATTTGATGCCCGAGCCCGGCCCTTTGTCGGTCTGTCCAGCAGCCCGGATGCCCAGACCATCCGAGCTCATACCTGCCCGGATTTTTTTTTTAAGCATCATGGCCGCATCCCAGTCGAGCAAATCGGCGGTAGAGATTCTGGGCGCCATGGCTACTGCTGTGTCAAAGCCCGATGTAGCAACATCTTATTGCCTTGTTCTTGGTCCGTGACGATGGCCTCATCAAGCACGCCCTCGGTCCATCTTCTGGTCACTGCGGCAGGTATAGGGTGTGGACCGTCTGTAACTTTGCCTGGACCTCGAGTCGGTATCCGTGGTTTGGGAGATGGCATCATACGCCATCCGGTGTCTTCATGGGGCTTCATATCCACGTCTTGGCATCCTGTTCGATGAATCAATCCGATAAGATATCGCAGACCATCCCATAGGGACGCGGTTTACCATCGCCGGGATGCTTCTGTTGCACGACATATTCACAGTACTTGCAAATCATCGAATCGATTTCCGCATTCCTGAGCGTCCTGTTGAATGAGGGAATCGGCGGAAGAGTATTCCACCCCGTCGAGAGTGTCGCCGTTCGATTATGGCATGCGGGTATCTCAAGGCTAATCTCATGGCTATCGACTACTCTTATATTTCCCTCTCACCTTTACCCCTCTACCAGCCCTTTCAACCGCTCCCCATGTTCCAATGCACAGCAGCATCCGCGCCTACTAGCTCTATCTCGAGCTTGTTGGATCTGCTACCAACCCCCCTGCGTGATCTTCCAGGCGTTTCAGCCCACGAGTACAAGATCATACTTTTTTTTTTTCGCATCAACCAAGACCATGCCTGAGTAGGGCATCATGCTCGTTCATATATCCGTTCTCGGGATCGATGTCGGTGGTGTGGGTATCGCTTCGAGACGACGCCGTGATGCGGGTGACCATATGCTACCATAAGGCCTCTGTTAGTATTTTCATGCATACAAACGCCGCCTGGTTTTAAGCGGGGTTGAGTAGGAAGGTATGGGACTGTTATATGTCAGGCCGGTGGCCCTACCTTGGCACTAGGGCTGGGGTTTGGTGACACGTATATAGCCTTCTTCGATACAGCAATCCCGTCAGCTAAGACCCCTTTTCTTTGTTGTTGATTCATCCCTCCTCTAGGTACTAGGTAGTTGCCTAACTGTGTCCTTCCCGCTGGGCCTACACTGTCACAGGGACCAAGCCCAGGTCTCTAAAGGATGTGCCAGCGCCCAATCCATCTAGCTCGCAGTTCCACGTAGATTCAGCTGCGCCCGCACATCAAAACGTGTGCGAGGACTATCGTGCACCCAGGTACATGGTCTGATATTATGTGGCGCGAAACTGCCTCGAAGCCTGAGGGAACGTTCTATACACTGACGAATGTCTTCTGACAAACTGCCCTAAAACATCTGTGTTTTCCAAGTATGCGGGACTCTCGCGAGCGTTCATCCTGGCGACCGCGTTTGCTGCTCGCCCAGGTATCCCAGGACCAGCAGACATGCCCCTAACCTGGGTAGTGGCGTATTCGACCCAGAGGAGGAAAGCATAGCAGAAATCCCTGAGCTGAACGCACCTGGCGCACCTTCGACGCGAGCAATGGCATTCTGAACTCGCCACTCAACTAGCGATTCCTCTCTTATGCGATGAGAATACAGGGCCGGATCTGAGAACATAAGACAAAAAAAAAGGGAAAAAGGCTAGCTCCGCAGAAACTCGAGCTTTTGATTCAATTCTCCCAAGAGAGCCTGAGATCTCTCGTCCTCCTCTTGCTGTGCGTCCTCCTCTTGCGGCGTGTTCTCCTCTTGCAGCGTTTTGACCATGGATTTCTGGGGCACCGGCAATGTGGACAATACGTCGTTGGCAGACGACTCTGAACCCAATATTCCTGGACCCAGTATTCCGTCGAGGGTGGCCTGGACCTCGGTGTCCATCACCGGGTCGATCTCTTCTTCCATGCCACCAGGCAGTGTCTCATCATATATTTCGTTCATGACTTCTGATCGCATAAGCTCTTCGACATAAGTACCCATGCTTTGCTGAAGCCGGATGAGGTCGGCGCGGCCCAGCTTGTTGACCTCTCCTGTGACCTTGCCGGCCGTCCGTAGGGATTTCTCAGCGATGAGATTGGCTTCGGCAGTCGCGATGCTGTTTTTGACACTTCCAAGCATGACTATGGTCGTTTCAAGGCGCTTGACCTGATTGTCGATTTCTGCTAGCGAGGATTCGTGGCTGCGTATTTCCCTCTGCGCCTGTGCTCTCCGAGCGGGTATGGCGACGCGTTTCTCGGCGTTTTTCTTCCATGTTATGACATTGCGCTTCTTCCTGTCGCAACTACTAATTTCCTGTTTGAGACGACGGACCTCGCGATCTGTCATGAGCCTACATTTCGACAGCTAAGTAGGCCGCGCGAAAAGCGAACAAGTCAGCGGAGTGGCCCATCATTAAGGATACAGGTGGGAGGGCAGGAGCTAAGATGGCCGGGATAGAGCTAGAAAGGGAATTCGCAGTGGCGGTGTCATACCTGCTGCTTCTTCGTAGGCTGCGCATAACCAAAGATTGCAGCCACGGTCTCCATGGTGTTTGCAGGTTGGATGGTGAGGAACCAAACTGGAGGATGCGTAATGCTGGGTTCGTGTCTCGTCGGTTGGGAAGTCGGTTGAGAGGTCGTATGGGATCGTCCGAGAGAAGGGATCGTTCAATCGGTCCGGTGACGTCGGGTGTTGAGGCTGGGCTCCGCGCAGCTTGCGACGACGACCTGTGGTGGCAGGCTGCTATGACTAAGATTGCCGCGGCCCGTGCTTTGCCCGCGGGGACTGAGTGGGCGACGGATGGCCCCACATCTCTCGCCTTGGATTTCTGATATCACCGAGCTGGTAAACCACTGATCAATGGAAGCTCCGGGCTGGCAATTCAGATACGAGATCCGCCCCATGCTTTTTTGTCTCGTGGGCAAACTAGCCGCACCGGGAGCTAGAGATGAGGCGAGGCTAGAGGCTTCTTGTAAGACCTGTTTATCTCTCGGAGGAGACGTAGCAAACCAGACAGGATGGGTCTGTTTTGACAACGCGGGGCTTTTTGGTAGTGTGATGATCATGATGGGTGGGCACCTCTGCGGACAGGCAGGCTCAGCTAGGTATGCGATGGAAATTTCCCGAAAGTATCGTTGATTGATGGCGGTTGTGCTCCCTTCTTAAGCAGTGTTTTTTTTTGACAGACAGTTTTATCGAGATACCTTGCGATAGCAGCGCCATTGGTGCTCTGGACCACTGACGTTATTTGGCGACCCGCCCCGACCCCGCTCCCCTCAGCCCTGCCCAAATCTTTGCGTTTCTCAGAGCTTCCATCCACAACTGGTCTGTGGGCAAGCAAGGCAAATGCGTGCAGCCTCATGCTGCCGAATAAATCGCGGCCCTCTCTCGCTCACGCCAGTTGGCAACCTGCTTGTACTGGGCATACCCATCTAGCCTTACCACTCGCGCACTCTCCTCTATCAGCCAATCTCGTCCCTCACTCCCACGGAAACAAGATTGCTATCAGACTTTGGCGCGCAAATGCAAGTCCCCAGGTCCCCAACCCCGTCGAGTCTGTGCTCTGCCTAGCCCCCTTGGTGTATGCGGGGGAGCGCAACAACAAGGGAATCACAGCTCCAATGCTAACGCCAACCAACAACGGAGCAGAATAAGCTTGCGTGGCAACAACAACGAAAACATATTCGCAATCGCTTTCTCCCGACACACCCGCCAACATGTCGAACGACGTTCTGACTCCTGAGGGTAAGCTCGGCCGTTTTCCCCCCACCCCTCCAGCGCCGCGCTCCATCTGAGATCGTTCCAACGGCGCCCCACCGCGTCCTCGCTGCGAGGCTCTCCATGATGTGCCAAGTCGGGCTAGGGAGAATCGTGGGGCAATTGTTCATATGCTCAGAGGGATGCTGTCGCGGGCGCGCCGCCGATATTGAACGCGATCACAATAAGGAAGCAAGCGGATGCTGACAGAAAACAGTCCTCTGGGCCCAGCGCTCCTCCAAGGCCGACCCGACCAAGAACTTTGTCTACCTGACTATCTCAGTCCCTGACGTCCCCCCCGCAAACCTGAAGCTCGAGCTCAAGCCGCAGGGCCTGTCTTTCACGGGCCGCTCCGATACGCTGAAGAAGACGTACCACCTCGAGCTCGAGTTCTACGCCGAGATCGACGTCGACGAGAGCAAGACACACCACACCCCCAAGAACGTCGAGCTCAAGCTGCGCAAGAAGGAGCTCAATGACGAGTACTGGCCGCGCCTGCTCAAAGACTCCATGAAAGTTCATTTCCTCAAGACCGACTTCGACAAGTGGGTTGATGAGGACGAGCAGAACGAGGCTGCTGAGGAGGACTTCTCCAACTTTGGCGGCGGCGGCGGCGGTATGGGTACGTAGCCTTCTGGCCCTCAACGATCAAAAACCTGGCAAATAATCTACCCACAGACGGAGACTGACAATGTTCGGCTATTTACAGGAGGCATGCCAGGCATGGGTGGTACGTGACGACCCAGACGATCAAGTCATTGAGCATCAGCCATAACTAGAGAGCAACCCATTGAGACTGACAACCGCTTCTTGTGATAGGCAACGACTTCGGAGGTATCGACTTCTCCAAGCTCGGTGGCGGCGGTATGGATATGCCCGAAGGCGACGAAGAAGAGGAGGAGGAGAGCGACGAGGATATGCCCCCGCTTGAGAAGGTGGACGAGAATGAGTCCAAGGACGCGGCGAGCGACAAGCCGGCTGCCGCTTGAGGAGATGGGGTGTCATGTCCCGGATAAGCTCCCTCATCTTCGTCATTTGCCCCATCGGCGGGCGAGTGTCGCACTCACGGACGTCATGATCACGGGTTGGACCGAAAAAAGAAACTCTGTCGGCTCGCGACTTCGAGGCTGACTGCGCCGTAAGGCGAGCCGAGCCTTCCTTTTTTCATTCTTCTTGTCTTCTTTTAGTCCCTTGGTCTATACCCTAGTGCAACAGGACTCCGTGGCGGAGATCATGATACGAAGTAGGACGAGGCCAAGATAACGAACATAATCAACCATGCTAAATTGGTCAGAGAGGGTGGGTGGGCCAAGGCTCACGCAGTGACGACATCGCATGGAAGTGAATGCAGATGTGTCAGGAACGCCAACTTGAGGCATGTCCCCGTCTATGCCCCGGATTCGCTAATAGCTTCCGATGTGTCCTTGCTGGAGCGCGGGACATGATGGGCTGTGATGACTGCGTTGCTGTCCCTGATAATCCGGTTGACCTGCGACGCTAACGAGATGTTGCACCCTACTCGACTTGGAATGGAATATCCCAACACAGGAACCCACAGGTATCTGCGTATCCTCTTCCCAAGCATGAGAGACCGGGGATCGAAGCCTGTGTTCTAAGCCCCATCTGACGTGCACCTGCAACTGCTCCCTATTATGATGTAATGTGCTCCCTGGGCGCATATAGCGAGCTAAGTGGGTACTGGGGTGCGATTTCGCATGCGTCCTTCCGAACACTTCGCGTCAGGCACTGGTGTTGCACAATGGAAACAAAAAAAGCATGATGTAGCCTGCAGAGTCCTGGCCCAGGGCTTTGGGATATCACCTGATATCCAAAAATCGGTAGAAAATCTCTGTCTTTAAACCGAGGGAACACCGTCGGATACAAGCCTTGGATATATCAAGTGGCTAATGTGCCTAGGGAAGGCGAGGCACTACGCGAGTGGCCGTTGGACAAGAAGAACTAATAGGCGACTGGGGTGAGAGCCTGCGTGAAGAAATGGAAATAGGGACTAGAAGAGGAAATGTGTCAAGAACACCAGAAGCAAGACAAGCTAACGATACGAAGATATCCTTGGCCGGGGGCATCAGGCCATCCAAGCGCCTAAAATTCTCCGTCTCACTGACACAACTACTCTCTGTGTGTCCATAGTCCCAGTATCACAACGGCTTGGGTACCAACCCACACACCCAGACAAGCATCTCGGCGTCGGGCTCCTCCTGCAGGGCTAAGGAAAACTGAGGAATGACGGCACGCGTCGCATCCTCCGGTGCCAGCCGGGCATGGCTCACCTGCTCTATGTGCGAGACTGATACCGGTCAAAGTCAACCATCTGGTGTCGAAAGAAGATGGAGTGAGAGTCTTCCTCCAGACGACCCTTCCGATACTCAACTCGATGCGCAGACACCACCCCCAAGCTGAGTATTAGACCGGCTATATATACCGTGCGAAGATGACCCCTTTCCCTCAGTTCGAATAGGTGGGCGAGAGTCGGAAGAGACAAGCGACATAGAAAGGATTCCGTCACTCAAGTCGAGGCTTGAGGGCAGACAAGCGATATACCCAGCATCAAGACATACCAAGGTGAGAAGTGACTCCAACCACTGGCCTCTGGAGCCATGACTATCGCCTGCTCCCCGCCAGCCACCATGGCTCTGTGCGCTGAAGACTCGCAACGGCAACGCGCCCCAGGTGTCCGGCAGCACTTGGAGCTAGACACGCACAACGTCCTTCCATCTTATCGCTCGGAGACGAAGCGAGCCCCATGAAGCCCGCCACTCCTCCCAGGCTGCCGTCCAAAGACATGAAGAAGAAGTCTGACAAGGTAGCCGCCGCCGCCGCCGAGGAGCAGGGCGGGCCCTTGGGCTTCCTGTCGGGCCCACCAACGACCGCCGCCGAAGGATGTGCGGGAGGGGCCGGGCCGCTGCCCCAAACGATAGCCCCTACACGGCTGTCGACGCCGCCAGGGACGCGGCCGCCGGCGTATTCATGACCGCGTGGCCGGTCGATGAGCCGTACGCCCATCCCGACTCGACTGGCAAAGAGCAGCAGACGTAGCGGGGGGGTCCGCGAAGGCTGTGTAGGCCCGCCGCCGCCACCAGACAACACGCTTGGTTGAGGGATCTGGGTGACCATTTCTGGACACTCGGTATCTGCCTAAGAATGTACTTTGCTAGGCTTGTGATTCGACATGCGGTATCTAGGTTTAATGCAGGGAGCTACTCAAGGTATCTGTCTCCCGTATCTATAAGCAATGCATTGTGGGCTAGGTAGCTTCTGTGCACAACCAGGAGGCCGCTCTGCCCCGCGCTAGGTATCAGATCACTATAGCCTTTGACCTGCACCTCCACCATCGCTTGAGTGATTGCACCTCGACCAACCCGATCCGCTTATATACATTACCCCCCACGCGTTCAACAAGTATTCCCATTATATTCTTGTACATGCACCCTCTCCACCTCGCCGTGAGCCCGGTGTCTGGGCTCCTTTTGCAGACTACTAGGATGTAGAGCCCCTGTTCCGATTCCGCAATCATCCAATAGAGATGCGAGAGGATTTCATATGTTACTAGTGGTAGTTTTCCAATGTTTTTCTCGGGAAGGATGTCTCGTAGCTTATTTCGCAATTCGTTGCGTGCCAGCCACTGCAGGTCTGTTTCGGATGCCCAGTCAAGGGGGATGTCGGGCTCGAAGTTCATGAAAGCGTGGGCGCGCTTGACCTCGGCAGCGGTGAGGATGCGGCAGGTGACGTGGAGTCGGCTACAGACAGATGGGCTACCATCGCTGGCCTCGAACCTGACCTTGGCCTCCAACGAGCCCTTGATTATTTCAGCTGCCTCAACGATGCGGTTCGTGCCGGCAACACACATCCAGCTCCAGGTCGGGACACTTGGATTGCGTATGGAGGCTCCGCGTTCAATTGAAATAGATTCGGATGAAGTCCATAGGAGGGTCGACGGAGAAGAGGCCCAAATGCCGTGGTAGCATTTGTCGTCCATTTTCTGGGCGAGAAAGTCGATGACCCCTTGAATCGCAACCGGCTTGTCCCTGTCGACAGTCAATCGGCGACGGGTGTACTGGGAAACGAGATCGGGCCACATGGCTAGATACATGTCCTTGATCTTTTCAACGGCGTAATGGTTGACGTTGGTATTCGTGACTATGTGTGGCGAAAGCGGGTCGCTGTAGTACATGAAGCCCGAATAGTGGATCTGGATAGCGTCTTCAGTTCTGCACCGCAGGAGCGGTTCTATATCTCCGAACATGAGCGTGCGCGGGGCCAAAAGCGCTTCCTGGTAGGTCCAGCCGCGCTTGTTGATGGCGAACTCTTCGCTCTCTTGAAACTGAAAAGGGCTGAGAATTAGAATCCCATGGAACTCGTCGTTGAGGCTAGGCGGCAGCGTGATTCGGCACATGGGACGTAGCTTGTTGGGCCGATGCGCCGGCTTGAGAAACCCGTCGTGCACAGACTCGCCGGTGGCAGCCGAGATGCAGACTGCGCAGCGAGAATAGATGGAGCCCATGTGTGCCAGCTCCCGTTGCTTGTCGTCCTCATCGTCCTGGACGATGCAGAGCGCATCGATCCAGAGATAGCTTATGCCGAGACACTGAGCTGTCATGATGGCGTCCCTCAGCGTCAGGGGAAGCGTGACCATATCAAGATCGTTGGTTTGCAGCGCGTGAATGTTGGCCTTGGTAAGCTTGACGTCTTGTTCGCCGCCCCAGCAATAGCTGAGACAGGCGTATCTCCGCAAGGGACCGTCCCGAGGCGGGACAAAGAGGCGGACCCGAGGCCAAGAGGAGGACTGCTGCGGTATGATGCGTAGCACTCGGGTGGGGAGGGGAGCAGGCCCCGAGGGCTTGCACGCGACGTGCGAGTGCTCACATTCGGCGAGCCGGGCACGCGCCGCCGACCCGAAGTCCTCACTGAGCCCTTCCCACCGCAAGGGTCGATGGTCTGTAAAGCTCGCCAATGGGTCGCCTAGAATATGTATATGAGTTCATGTCCTTGTCAATCCGGTGACCCTTTCGGTATAGGACCTAGGACTTGTCTGCATACCTTCAGGTGCCCCCACCAAAAGACGGTCCCCAAAATCAACATGGATCTCTCCATCGCCTTGAGGATCGACCCAGAAGGAGAGAACGGCGAACGAGCCTTCGATTTTTGTATATTCGTGAATAGCCATATGGAAACACACGGTGGAGGTCGTCGGATCAAAATCTTTTTGGCAAACTAAGACTTCGCGCAACCACGTGAGGGGATTATCGGTTGGAGGTCGAGTCCTGACCATCACATGATCATTCCACATATAAGAACAGAAAACGCAGGTCGGACGTTCTGCGAAGCTGCTCAAAAATGAGTGGCGGAAGCCGGTCATGTTGAGAAGGTCTGGGAGGCCCTCCTTCGAGAACATATCTCGGCAGCGCTGGCAAAGGGCTGTGCCCATCGACGACGATGGCTGTGCTGACATCACGATCGTGGGACGAGAGCTCGAGAGAATCTAGGTGTCAGGTGTCTCGAGACAAGGAGGACGAGAACGCAGCTTCAGCACGAAAAAAAAGAAGAAGAAAAGATTAAACCAAGGAGAGATCGTCTATTTGACATTTCACGTGCACGTTGCCTTACCCACCCCTGTAGAGGAGCTGGGATTCGGACAATACAAGGCAGCAAAGGACCATCGTGCAATTGGGCGTAGGTCATGCCCCGTCGGAGAACAGCAGGTACGTAAGCCCGACGCCCAGTTGCCAGTCGGAGAGGCGCGCCCAAGAGACACCGTCCACCTTGCTATTCCGTTTACAGGCTGGTCAGCATGTTGTTCTCAGGAGGCCGGCTTGCCTGTATGGACAAACACAAACACCAAAGGAACCTGCGACCATGTTTAGCCAGCGTATCATATTCCTTGGGTCGGAAGATGGAAGTTGCACTGCCATGCCAGACGGAAAGGGCCGCCAACGGGCTGCCTAGGCTAGCCGCCTGCCTGCACCTAGACGCCGGTGCACAGCCCACATTTCCACCGTTCGAACGAGGATCAACGCCACAACTCCTTTTTACACTTGGAAACCTACACAGTAGACATCATCATGATCGTATCCATCACAAATCGAAAAAGAAAATAGCAGCACGCTCAAGACGAGTCATGTTATTAATTATTAGCTCCCTTCCAACTTTCCAACTCCCACACGAACCCCTCCCATCCCTCTTGCAATACAGGCCCCGGATAAATCATATGCCAAACTTCTTGCCTGGCGGGTTCTTGATGTACGTGCACCCCTTCTAGTCGCACGTGTTCTTGTACACCTCGGTGCCCCACCACGAGAACTTGTCGACGGCACCCGTGTAGAAGAGGGTGAAGAAGATGAAGACGCCCGCGATGGCGAGCGAGCAGTCGAGCGCTGAGTCGAGCACAAAGTTGTAGCGCTGCCACTAGTCGTGGTGGCGCCTGCGCACATACAGCCCAAAGATGAGGCCGACGATGGCCCAGCTGCCGTGGTTGGTCCCGGTCGCAGGCGGGATGAAGTTGAGGTCGCCGAGGAAGAGCGGGACGTGCACCTTTGTGAACCAGCGCGAGCGCGGGAGGGCGAAGCGCTTGAGCCCCCAGACCGCCACGGGCAGCAGCGCGCCCAGGAGGAAGAAGTAGAGCAGCCCGTTGTAGAGCAGCCCGACGCCGCCCCAGATGAGCGACGTGTTGAAGTGCGTGCGCGAGAAGGGGCAGTTGAAGCCGTTGGCCGCCTTGTTGGTGCAGATGTTGGGGATGTTCTCGAGCGCCCAGTTGACGACGCCCACCTGCGTGACGCCGCCGACGGCCATGCCGACGCACTGCACCAGGAACAGCTTGCGCGGCGGGATGTTGCAGTAGATGCCGAGCTTGAGGTCCTGCGCGAAGGCGAGGCCCTTGATGCCCGAGATGAAGCCGAGGCCGAAGAACCAGATGTTGGCCAGCACCTTGCCCTCGTAGACGTAACCGGCGGTGATGCGGCAGAGGATCTCCGTCTTGATCTTGATGTTGGTCGTCGCGTACACCCAGGCGAGGGGCACGAAGAAGACGAGCGAGATGAAGAGGGAGAAGATGGCGCCGTGCCAACGCAGCTGCACCGGGTAGAACTCGCACGCAAAAAATGCCCATGCCCAAAGATACGAACGCCAGCACCCAGTACCACCACGTCGGCGCGGCGCTGTATCGGGACTGCGGGTTCCTCAGGGTCACGGCCGCCTCGCCGTTGCCCGATTTCCACCAGAGCCTGCCAAGGGACGACGCCTTGGCAACCCCCATGATAGGCTCACACTTCTCCAGGTACAGCCAGACGAACAGAGAAGAGAGGGTTGCGAAGCAGAGGCCAAAGGTGTTGAGCGTGTACGTCACGGGCACATAGAGGGGCGAGTACTGCTCGTACTTTGTGTGGTTAAAGGAGAAGTCGAGCTTCTTGTCAATGACACGCGAAACATTGTACGCTTGCCCGTGTTGTCGAAGATGGCGTTGCCCTGGAACGGAAGGTGGGCTGTGTACCAAGTGTTGGAGTATTAGTAGATTGCCGGCGACACAATGTAGATCCAGAAGACGAGCGAGGCCAGAATGTTGAGAATGGCCCACGCGGGGACAACCAGTGGCGATCCGATATATGTGATCTGACTCCCGTCAAAGGTGATGGGCGGCAGACCCATACCGCTCTTCATACCAAACACCTGGTTGATCACCATGTTGTTGGGGGCGATCCAGCAGATGAAAGTGAAGTATCCAAGTGCCGGGAAGATGAGATGGGGAAACCAGTACCAGCAGAAGGAAGCACAAAAGGCAATCATGAAGAAGCGGTAGCGCGACATGGACCATTTGCTCCTGCGCGAGAGAGGTCAGGCCGTTAGCACTTGAGAAGGATTCCTCTATACAGCACCCTCGGTAAAAATAGAGTCAAAACACAAAACATGACTTGCCCAGTAACGCTCTCCTTGTCGCTTTTGCGGGAGTGCAGGGCGTGGTTGAACGCAGTGTTGCTGAGAACACCAGGCCAGACGAAGCCGGCAGGGTCGGCAATCAGGGACCTGAAGATGCCAGCAAGCGCCATGCCGAAACCGAGGGTGCACAGCGTGATGAGCAGCTCAAAGCCCCAGCCGGCCTTGAGGCCATAGAAGTGGCGCTGCTCCGTCAGGGCGTCGGCGCTCAGGCGGGTGGCGAAGCTCAGGTTGGCGAGGATGTAGATGAAGATGTTCTCCTTGTAGTTGAACGGGCCGGGGTTGAGGGAGTGGCGGGTCCCCCTGAAATTGAACCCCCAGTCGGGCACGACCATCTCCCAGCCCTTGCTCAGCGGGTAGGCCAGGAACTGGATGGCGGACTGGGAAAGCGTGATGGACGGGAAGCGGAACGTGTAAAGCGTGTTGACGCCACTACCGAGGATGCCGAACGCGACGCCAATGACTCACATCCTGATGGTCAGGCATGGTAGCGTCGGGTCATCCTCCTTGAGGCCGATTCCGGCAGCGAAGAGGATGTCGGCGCTGGGTGCGCTGGATTCATCTAGGGAATCTATTGTCAGTATCCAAGGAGACGTATGTCAGTGAAGAGAGCAACGAGCCCAACGTACCAGATTTGCGTCGCTCTTGGAGGACAGCATCCTCCCAGTCCGACTTGGACTCCCGGCTCTCGCTCTGGTCGTCTGCAGGGACGAACTTGACCTGACCCTGATCCTTCCTTCTCCTTGACGCTCGAGGCCTTGTCGTCGTCCGCGCTAGTTGCCATTGTGAAAAGACGGGATGAATGCGCACCCAAACGAGGGAGAGGCAAGGAGGGAGCGGGAAGTGAGGATATATAGGAAAATAGGACCCCGAGAATACAAGAAAAAAATAAGGGAGGCGGATCTGATAAGATGGCCTAGATTAGATGAGAATTATCTATCTGATCCTATTCATCGCCGCCCCGCAGGTTGAGCCCACGGCGGTCTCGCCGTCGGTCCGTCCTGGCGTCATTTTGGGCGGAGCTGGCTGCTAAACGCAGCCTGGCCTAATCTCTAGCTGCCGCATACGGCAAATGTCTGGAAAGGACGGCATCTCGATGCAAGGGTTCGTGTCTGACAACGCCGACAAGCACCCACTACCACATCCCCAAAATACGGGGCTTGGGCCACAAAAAGGGGGGAGGAAACCCTTTCTCCAGCGCCCCCATTGTAGGCGCTTTGACGAGCTCCGCTGGCGGCTATTTATGCTTTGTCGGACCTGCCGGTAGGAAATACAACGGCGTGTCTCAATGGACGCGGCATGGGAGCGCGGGAGGAATAGGAACAGTGGCATGAGGAATGCCCCGAGGCCGGAGCAGTGGACGACAAGCGCTCAGCTCCAAACCGCCTGCGAGAGTGCCCGCGTTCCCATCGCGTCTGCAGCGGCTCAGGTCGAATCACAACACGAAGGACCTTGAACAGAATCTTCAGTCGTCTCAATGGTTACATTATGTTCAGCTTCGTTCGCTTTGGGTAAGCATCATACAAATTTCGCATATCGATTATCGGCAGCCAGGCGCATGCTCCTCATGTTGGGGAAATAAGGAATAAGGCTGACGGATAGACCCGGGTGCAGTGGCAGAGTCCTAATTTGACGTTGTGTTGCCTCCGTTCTGTTGCCTACGGGTTGTGCCATTGGCAGGAGGCCAGGCCCTGGGAGAAATTCACCAGCCAAGGACAGGGATGCATGGACGCAATGAGAAGAAGTGCCTGGAAGGGCCTCGGGAAGCAAAGGCCAGAGTCACGTGGCAACCCGGCCAACAGCCTATCTTATCGTGGGGGATTTCTTGAAAGTTACGCGTGCCTGGCCCCACAACAGCACTGTCCTCGGTTTGACGGAAAGCGCGCATACCCCATGGATGGAAAGCATCGGCGACCGAAAAAACTCCCCCTCAAAATTTCACCTTGATCAAATTTCTAGCAACCGTGCCACGTGACCGGGAAGCAAATCCTGACCGACCAGAACGACCAAGACATCAATTCGCGTCAACGCCAGAGGCCTCGTCCTATCGATGCGCCCCATGGGTTCATTAGAATAATCGTCGGAAGGGATTCCTTTTGTGGACTAAGTTGCCGGTACGTTTTTTTTTACGACGCGCTTCCTTGGAAAAATCGCGCTGTCTCCCGGGTGTCGGCCATTTTTCGATCAAGGTACCACACAGCCGCGACGGGTCCTTGGATGGCCGGTCGCGCAACCCCAGGTCGCCATCGAGAAAGAACAATCGCGACCAACCACCCCCATCGCGATGGAAACGAATTGGTTTCAATCACCAAGTGCACATGCTAACCATCAGAATTGATTGCAATCAGAACTGGCGCCGATTCATCTTTTACAGAGACGCGGCAGTCCCCTCGAGAGCTGGCGAGGTGGATACTGGGGCATGTTCAACATCGCGGCCTACACTCCTCTCGAGTCGCTTTTGTTGATCCAGTCACTCGTCGCTCACGGCTCCGTCGACCCGCCGGCCTTCACCCACGTCTCCGGCCTCCTCACAGCAAACTCTTATATCAAGGACGACGACCGCTACGATGAGAAACGCCTGAGCCCCGGCTCGCTCCAGGAGCTCTTCCTGCATATACTGCGGGACGAGCTGAAGCTAGAGGTCGAAAACGCCGACAAGTCTGCACCCGACGGCAGCGTCTCCCCGAATAAGCGCCGCAAGCTGCAGGCCCCCTCCCCGCACACCCTCCAGGAGGCGCATCCGTACCTACCCAAGGTCCCGGCGCTGTTCGACCGACTGTACTCGCGATACCAGGAGCACCAGATCCGCCGGATTCGCGAGGATGAGGAGAAGTTCGATCGGGTGCAGTCCGAGATTAAGGCTCTGCTGGAGGAAGAGGATCGTGAACGGAAGGAGAAGGAAGCACGGGAGGCCCAGCGCCAGCGAGACGCTGCTGTCTACAATCATGCGCCTCCAGTCAAGCCCGAGGAGAGGAGAGGGACGGTCACGTTGCCAAACGGCACGGGTGCCGCTGCTGGAGCTGGACCTGCTCCTACCCCTTCTCTCGTCGGCGCCACCCAGCCTGGAGGGCGACCACACCCGATTGTGGTTGCCACAGCGCCTCCCGCGAAACCACAGCCGCCTGTCAAGTCCACGAGCAAACCGGCATCTGGTGTGCCCAGCCAACCATCCCCAGGCCTAAAGCCTGCTCCTTCACATGCGCCTGCGGCCGCGCCAACTCCTCCAGCGCCGCCACCGCGATCCCCCGCCCCAGCGGCGCCGAATCTTGCAACCCCCAATCAGCCAGCTACCACAACAGCCCATCTTCCCTCACCCTCGCCAGCTCCCGCTCTTGCCCGACCGGTTGCGGCCCCTGTAGGCGGCTCACCAGGTGTCCCCTTAGTGCCACACACACCCCAGGCTTCGGCGCAGCCACCCATAACAGGACCACCTGCGCAGCCACCGGCTTTGCAGCATGTGAACGAGCTCCCGCGACGTCCAACCCCGGTCGTAACTGCACAGCACTCACTGGCAGCGGGCAATGCGTCGCTCTCGGCTCCTCCGCTAGCAAAAGCGGGCGTTGCACCGCCGAGCCAGTTTGGCCAAGCCGCAGCATCCGATGTCAGACACGAACCAGCGCGCCCAGCCAACGGCGCCGTCAGCTCTCCTGTCCTTCAGCATCCCCAGGGCGTAATGGTTTCCTCGCCGCGGCCAACGCAGTCTCCTCAACCACAGCCCCCACAGCTTGGGGTGTTACAGCGCCCAGAGGCTGTCGGTAAACCCAAGGTGCTGCCGCCACCACAACAGACGACACCCACACCGCCCGCAGGAACACCGCTCAAATGGGAGCCTCCCTACAAGCCCCCACAGCCGCCGACGGCCTCTCAGAGGCCACAGGTAGGACCCCCCGGCATGGGACAGCATCACATGGTTCCGCAGACGTGGACACCGCATACACATGCCCAAGTACAGGCGCATGCCCAGGCACAGGCGGCTGCGATTGCGCATGCTCAGGCCCAGGCTCAAGCTCAGGCACAAGCAGCTCAGGCACAAGCAGCTCAGGCACAAGCAGTTCAAGCACAAGCAGCCCAGGCCCATGCGGCTCAGACTCAGGCGGCACCATATCTCCAAGTGAATCCTCAAGGGCAGACGCAGGCGCAAGCGCAGGCGAAGCCCCAGAACCAAGGTCCTGCACAAGGACAAGCCCTCCCCCCTTATCAGAGCCCCACACAGCTACAGGCTCGCAACATCAAGTCTCAACAAGCACAGAAACCACCACCGCAGCCATCTCACCCTGTTATCTTCTCGCACAAACCAGCCCTTGCGCACCCAAGCCATCAACATCCTGTCTATCAGCTTCAATCTCCTGCTGCTGATTCCAGGAGACCTCCGGTACCACCCGCGGCCTCCGCTCAGCAGCCGCAGCGTGTGCTACAAGCTCAGTCGGCCCAGCCGATGCCGGCCCGGACTGTTGCGCCCTCCGTGCCGACGACCCCAGTCCCTGCACAGGCTGCACCATCGCCTCATCGACCCCCCGTTGCTGCCTCGCCAACGCCCATGCTCACGCCCACGCATCCTCCTCCAAAGCGCTCTTCACCCACTCAATCCCATCAATCTCCTCGCATCTCCAGTCACACCCAACCTCAGCCTCCGAAATCAACTCATATCCACCAGCAGGTATACGCAAATTCTCAATCACATTCGCCACAGCAATCGCCAATCCAACAACAAGCGCGCGCTCATCCACCATCACAACAGTACACCCACCCCCAGGGACCAGTTCGACTACCGGTGCCTGCGACCGCGGCACAGAATACACAGCAGGTACCTGCCGTTGTAGCCCCCACGAAGACTGCATCACCCGGTCCGGCGGTGCATTCTACCTCGGCGCCACCCCCCGGAATCACGCAGCCGGAAGCCTCAAAACACTATGCTGGGCCATATGACACAACTACAGTACCTGTGGCGACAGCGCCAGGCAGCTTCAGGCCACAAGTCTCCACGCCAAAGCCCCCTGCTGCCGGACACAGATTTGCACCCCTGCTCCCGCAGACGCCCGCCAATGTCGGCGACGCGGGTTACTTCTCCAGGCATGGGAGTGCCACTCGGTGGAAGTCAGCCCAGACTCCTGCTACACCCAACGCTGTGGAAGCTTCTGGTATGGCGGCGCCTCCGTTTGAACGCCTTAGTCCCGTTAGTTCTACGGCCAGTCTTGCTGTACCTGGTGCGACCTCGGTGTCATTGGATGGACTTGCAGACTCAGCAGCTTCGCAGCAATCCCAGCCGAAAGCCCAGGGCAAGAAGCAGCAAACGCACAAGCTTGAGACTGGATTGCCACCCAAAGCCCGACAAGTTCGGCAACCCCGCAGCAAGGTGCATGACGCTCAAAACTTGCCAGCATCTAAGGAGGTGGAGGCCCACCAACAGCCCAGCCCAGTAGATGAAACTCGCAAGGCGGCGAGGGAGCCCGACCCGGCCAAGGTTAAGGACGAGGAAGAGACACCGCGACCTATGGATGAGACAGGCGACACGACAGCCGACGAGAGCGGCCCGAGCCAACGCCATCCGGCGCCTTCGGCTAGTCTGCCGTCGCGAAGACCAAAGCGGAAGCGAGGCGAGTCAGCTGGACCCGACAGGATGGATGCCACTCCAGCGCCGGTGTCCGAGGCTCCTCCGGAGACAGCCACTGCTCCTCTGGCCTCGACTTCTGTCGTACCTCGGTCAGAGCCACCATCACACATCCTCTGGACCCGTGGCTTCCCTAGAATCAGCTCCTCGGCACTTGATCAAATCGGTAGCCACCGGCACGCAAACATGTTTGCCCACCAAATCAGAGACCGGGATGCACCGGGTTACAAGAATATCGTCCTTGGCCCTATGGATCTCAAGTCTATCCGGGCAGCTATCACCCACGGCAACAAAGCTGCGACCCAGGCAGCCGCTGCCTTGCCAGACGGCGACCCGGGCACGAGCACAGTGTGGCTCCCCATCAGCGAAGATCTCGTTCCTCCTCGCGGCATCATCAACAGCGCACAGCTAGACCGAGAGCTGGTGCACATGTTTGCAAACGCGATCATGTACAACCCGGACCCGCAGCGAGGGTTCGGCCCCAGCTTTCTTCGCCGCGACGATGATGAGGATGAGGCGGCGGATGAAGCGGACGCGAGCACGGCGGCAGCTGTTGTGCCGGGTTCAAATGTTCTGGGCTACAAGGTGGACGAGAACGCAGTCGTCAACGACACGCGCTCCATGTTTGTCGAGGTTGAGAAGCTTCTTAGTAACATGCGAGCGGCCGAGATATCACGTGGAGCGCCGCCTCCGCCTCCCGGGTCTACAGGCCTGGTTAGCGCCGCTTCTCAGGACGATGACGCCAACGGAGGCGCATCCCTGGACGGCGCCGACGATAGAGAGGGAACCGCGGCCACCGATGGCGACGGTACAGGGAGCGGAGCAGCAGGGACAGGTGGCACGATTAAGCGACGGCGTATGACCCGAGGCTGAAGGGGGAAATGTCCCAATGGATGCTACGGCGGGTTAATGGGCTCGGATAGGGTTGGCAGTGTGGGCTTGTCCATTTGTGCTGACGGGCACGGCTGTCTTTCTGGCGGGGCTGTGACGGCCGGACTCGCCTGTTGGATGCCTGGGTAAACTATAGAATGGCCGACTAAGTGTACGGCCCTGCTAATGTCCTGCATATTAGACAAGACAGTGGCTTCGTTTTCTCACCTCACTGTTTCTTTTTTTCTTCTCTCTTTTTTCTTTTCCCTCTAATTCAACTTTCCTCTTAAGCAGGGAGCGCACCTATACCATAAGATACCATTCCTATTCCATGCCTGTGTATCTGAACGGGCGCCAATGCCCCGGTAGCCTCCTGCCCGCCACCAACCCCATGCGCGCCCGTTACACCACCACCTCAGTCGCCCGTGTCGACCTCGAGGTCGATCTGGACGCCGTTGCTAACACCGTAGTCCTCGAGCGTGAGCTGGTCCTTGAAGGGCCTCTCGCCCTGGCGCTTGAGCAGGATCTCGTGGGGCTCGCGGCCGATGCGGGCGGCCACCATGATCTTGAACTCGCGCACGCGGTCCGATGCGAAGCAAGGGATGGCCGCCTTGGTCCCGAGCCGGTCGTTGACGTGCACCACGATCATCTCCTCACCGCCGCCGCCTGCGGGCGCGGGAGGTGGAGGAGCGGCGGCGGC